GAAAACCCCCCCCCCCCCCCCCCCCCCCCTCCCCCTGCTTGCCCTTGCGCAGGTGCCGTCGGCCCAGGTGGAGACCATCATGGGCGAGCACCCGCTGCTACCCCCCATCCAGGACACGTTCAACAAGGGTGATGTGGAGGCTTACGTGCTGTCGATCGGAAGGCGTTTTCCGGCACTGTGCAAGCTGCTGGCCACGCTCGTAACGGCCTCGCCGCCAAAGTCGCAGGAGCCCGAGGTGACTCGTCCTCCCAAAACACACAATGAATGAATGCAGTGAAGGAGTTGAATTGTCCTCCGAGACAACCAAGAATATATATTTTGAAATGTAGTACTATACATTACATTGTGGTTTTGGGACAGTACGACGGGTAAATAGATCCGGTGGAGTTAGAGAGAGAGGTAGTGAAAGGGGGTGAGCTGGGAGGGGCGAGGACGGACGGACGGCCATCGGGCATCAAGATCATGAACGGAAGTTCCTCCTCACTGATGACAGAGAAGACATAGATGAGGCGAGTCGGAGGGATTCTCCGACTGGCGTTGGACGTCACAGACAAGACATGGAAGGGGGCGTGTTGGTTCAGGAGACACAAGTCCCACATCTTACATACGTGACAAGTGTTGCATGTTTCTTTTTGGAATTTGTTGGACTCGGGTATGTTGAATTATCATGTTTTTTTTTCATGGTTCGCACCATTAGGAAGCTCTGTCTAGCTTCCTCTGTGTGGTTCAAGCTACCGCCAGCTTGCGCCGTGGGGTCTTTGTATGTCGGGTGTATATTCCATGTTCCGCTTGGAAAAAGGTGGCCTGTTTAGATTATAGGCAATAGCCCGTTTGGCGTGTCAGAGCCCATGGTTGAGGTCGTGCGTCTCTCTCGGCTTTGTCTCGGGGATGTTCAAGGTGTCGTTGTGGTTACGATTGGAACCAGTACCACCCTCAACCGTAGGTTGCATGAGGTATTACACCCCCTGGACCGATTTTCATAACTCGATTACTCGGCAAGAAAAGCAGTGACGGTGCCGACAATTGCAACGTTGGAACCATCTCGTTCACAGCTTTTCCAACAACGCATCATTTGATATTCGTCGTGGGGGAACTCGAACTTTGAGAATCGGTCCAGGGGGTGTGGTGTCTTGTGCAACCTACGGTATTTTGCTTCCGCCGTGTTCGACAGCAGATATTGCATGCCAGCCACCGCGGTTGAAGGCTTGTTGTCTGTTGCCTACGAACGTTATTTTTAGCCAATCGTGTGTTGTTCCTTCACCCACAACTTGTAGCCGGACTTGCTCGCCAAAGCCCATGATTAGGCTGTGTGTGTTGTCTCTCCTTTCGCCCGATGCATAGTAGTTTCGACCGCTAGAATGCAAGCCTTGCCAGTGACTCGCCCGCCGCTGGGTGGTGTTAATGCGGACTTGCGTCCATTTTTTTTTTGAAAATCGTACTCGCTCTTGTTCGTCACGTGGTCCACTTAGGAAGGAGACGGGCAACAACAGCAGCAACAACAGGAGGAGGAAGGAAAGGGAAAAGAAAGCGACGGCAGCAGCAATTCCGCGCCGTTCCAAATACCGTTCCTTGTCTCCCTCTCGATATCGCTCGTGCAGAGGGTCCTGAGAATGGGCGAACAGGTGTGTGCGGCCTTGCGTTTTTTTCCGTGTGTGTTTAGCTTGTTTTGTGACCATGGACAGCTCCGAGCGACTGGCCAATGAAATACCGTCAGTCTTACCACTGGCCATTGTAATACCGTCAGTCTTACCACGGGACGGTATACCGTAAACGCTGTCTATATTATGCGGGGCCTCCTGGCAAGCGGTCCTGAGGCGGCCGAGGTGGAAAGAGTTTGAACAAAGGAATCTCTCGTGCAGCTGTGTGTTGTAATCCGTGAATTCCAACCCTCCTCGCTTGCCTGTTGGGTACGTGTGTCTTGGATTGGCATCAACCGCGGTACTGCACCCAGCTGACCAATGAAAATACGCCAATGTGCGTGTTTTTGGTTTGAGCGTCGACCACGCTAAACGTTTGACCAATGGATGACTCCAGTCTCATCGCGACTGAAAACAGAAAATGCTCTTTTGGCCATGACCTGGGACCCCACGAGGGGGTGTCATGGGAGAGGCTGAGCTACCCTCCGGATTTTTGGACAGAAACGGCAACAGCGTGTGTGTGTATTTATTTTTCTCAGTCCAGCACAACGAATCCATCTCTTCCCACAGACGAAAGTCGAGGATACATGTTAACTATTATAGCAATGAATCAATTAGTTGTTTTTTTTTCTGCTTAACATGTCCGTCTGGCAACAGCGTGTGTGTGTATTTGTTTTTCTCAGTCCCAACACAACGAATCCACATCTTCCCACAGACGAAAGTCAAGGATAAATAGAGGTAAGGAATTTTAGCTCAGGCTGAGGCCGCACCGCAGGCCTCCATTCGGCGCCTGAGAGCGAAGCGGTGGGATTGCGCCCACTCTCAAGTCGACACGATAGCGTCAAATATCAAATGTTGGCGCGCAATGCAGGGGCCGCCGCTTGGCCTCCCGCTCCTCAAAGCCCGCCGGGAGCCCTCTCTCAGCGAGACGCCGCCGCTCGGGGCTCCGGGCGTCCAGCGACGGGCGAGCTGCACGCGCCGGCGGGACGGCTCAAAACCACGTCGTCGCACTTTTTCTCTGTTCCTCGGACCCCTCCGCTCGGAACTGTAAAGAACAAGCGATCTTACTGGACGGAATTGTCTTCGGGGTATTTTTGGGAACTTGAAGTTATCACAAAACTCGGAATATGTCTATAATTAATGCAGCAACCACATATGCATAGCCCGCACATGTCTGCTTACCACGAAATGGTACGTAAGCGCTTTATGCATCATCTATCATGTGCCCATCGTGTGCTAGTGACTGCTGCGCAATACTGCTAACTTGCAATATGTGCGTGCAACCGCGCTGGCAAGCATCTCATCTCTCCCACAAATGTCAAAGGAACGGCAACTTGCAGGATATTCCGAGAAGTATTTCTTGCGGAAATAAATGAGAAGACGGGAGACGGCAACTGGCTCTCGGAACTCCTAACACATATCACATGCATTTTGCTCATATCTCTCATCAGTTCTGTGTGCTGGATCTCTCTGCTGTAGTCGGGAGGACGACACGGGGTGTGTGTGAATGTGCGCGAAACGATGACTACTGTATGTTGCTGTAGTCTCACGGGCTAATATAGCTATATGGTACAAGCCACACTTGCACACACACAGACATGCTGCCCCCTCACGGGGTCCCAGTTCATGGCAGAAAGAAGTGTTTTGTGTTTTCAACCGCACTAAGACTGACGTCTTTTCATTGGTCAGCCGGTTAGCGCGGTCGATGCTAACAATAAAAACACACACACAGACAGACAGGTGCACACATACAGCAGGGTGTGCGCCACCTGCTTCCACCTTTGTTCAACAATTGTCACTTTGTTTCAGAGAAGCCGGTAGCCTAAGTGTATACGGAGAGCATGAGAGCATGATGACGCACGCTCCTCTCGACTTCGAACCTGCGTCTATCGTTCTTTTGCTGTAACGAACACCCGTCCCACTTGGTATGTGTTTCGAATTTGTAAAAAAACTGCTATAGTAGCTTACCTCATCACATGAATAGGTTATACCGTTATACCGTTCGTTTCGTATGCGCATCGGCTCTCAAACGGGTGACGAGGGGGGCGGTAGCCCCCCGCGTCCGCCGCCCGTAATAGGTATTATTGCTATGAACCAATTACCTGATATATATATTTTTTCTGCTTTATAATATATCCGTCTCTATCCAAAGGTAACGGGTCTAGGATGTTAGTTTTTTTTTCATATATGTTTTGATTGAAAGGTGTACCCCCCCTTTGGTGGGGGCAGTTGGCTTGTGACCACGGAAGGCGTCCGTCCGCGTCAGTTGACGGAAGGCGTCCGCGTCAGTTGTACTATTATAGTCCTATACGGACATTAGAAGGTACTGAGCAGAGACCGGAACGGTTTTTAATGTGAAGACAACAGCAACAACAAAATACATATTTTTCGTGCTTTCGTTTTGACACACACCCACGTGCCAGGCCTGGGCCAAGCTCGAGGAAGAGAGGGCGGGCGTCAAGCGCGACGATCCCAGCCCGACTCGCAGAAGAGCCTCCGCTACGACCGCCCAGGAGTCCGCCACCAGCACCAACACCAGCACCGCCGACGGCACCCTCTCTCCCGAGCTAGCCGCTAGGGTGTCCGGCCTCCTGTTGCCCTCCGCGGTGACCCTGCTGGAGGCCCTGGTTGCCAGCTCTAGGCTCGAGAAGGCGATGGAGGACCGGCAGGGGACGGTGTGCCAGTGCATGGGCCAGGCGGTCGCCCAGGTAGGGACGGTCTGTGGGCGGTGGTGGTGGTGGTGGTTGGGTGTAGGGGAGGGCTTGTCGACGTTGTGTGGGCTGGTTGGGTGTGCTGTGTAGCGTGTCAGGGGGCTGGAGGGCTTGTCACGCGGTGATTAGTGTGGTGTGGTTGGGTGTGCTAGCGTGCACGGAACGCGGTCACGCGGCGTTTTTTGTGTGGCGGTTGCGTGTGCCAGCGTGCACGGAGGTTGGAGGGCGATTGTCGTACGCGGCTCACGATAGCTGTGTAGCTTGCTTGCTGTAAGCGACTTCTTCTGTGCATGCTTGTTTTGCTGCTCCTGGCTGCCGCATCCCCAGTCGTACAGCGTTCGTTCAGTCGGAAAGCGTGCACGTGTGCTGCGACGCCCGAGTCGCTTTGCAGACTCGCGGCCGCGCTTGAAAGTATGTTTATAGACACCGATGGGTTCTCGCGATAGCGGTAGGTATGAAGTGTTTGCCCTAATCCATGCGCGCTTTTTTCGAATGAACAGCGAGAAGTACCCCCCCCTCGATGCTAGAGCATCGATGACACCCACCCCCCCAATACTTGCCACCTTTGGCAAAAGTAGGAAGGGACGTTTGGCCATCGGTGATCGGTCCTGTGGGAACAATGCTCCGTCCTCGGACGGAGGACGCGTGGTCTAGCAGCCGAGGCATTCCAAACATGAGTACGCCCCTTCTCCTCCCCCACTTGCGGTGCAGACGCCAGTTCAAGGCGGAGTGAGGTTTGCGGCGTACCGCGCCATGGCGGTGATCATCAGGTACATCAGGCCGGACACAGCGGCAGAGGGGCTGGGAGTGCCGATACTCCCTCTGCTGTTCAACGAGGCACTCCTTGCTCTCGGCAACCGTGTCAACCTCCACGCCCTCAACACTACGACTAAGACGGACGTCGGGCCGAGAAGCAGGTGAACTGAGTCGTCGAAGATGAAGCTAAATTGTAGCCATTTTGTTTTTCAGCCGGTCATCGAACATTTTTTTCATGTGTGTAGTAGGTCAATTTTTTTTTTTGTTGTGCGTTGACATGGTTGAACCATCTGTAAGTCGTTCAAAGATGTAGCTTGCCTTTTCGTTTCAGCCGGCCATGGAGTTTTTTTTATGCGTGTTAGGTGCGTTGTTTTTCGTGTGTTGGCGCGGTTAAACCATTGGTGTTTATTGTTCATCACCCCCCCCTTTTGGCTGTCCCTCCTTTGCTCTGTCCGCGGTTCCTTTTTCTGCCCCCCCCCCCCCCCCCTCTTCTCTTTTTGCGCCCGGCCGGATGAACTCGAAAACCAGAAACAGCGAGAAGGGCGGCGGCTCGCCGAAGCCGCTCCTGTTCAACGTGCGGAACCCTCTCAACAACGGCCACGGCGCCAAGCTGCACGAGGACACTGTCTGGGCGGGGGTAGAGTGCCTCGCCACGTTCATCTTGGACTGTGGTCTCTTCCTCCCGGCAGCCCAGGCAAGTCTTTTTTTTTTTTTTAATTCAACGAACAATCCATGTCTGTCGACAGTTTTTTTTTTTTGTTATTCCGGGCATGATTTCGTTGTGTGCCTCGCGATATTTATCTTACTCGGACCGTGGGTTGATTTTTGTCCCGGCGGGGCCAATTGCAAGACGTGTTTCTTGTTTCTTGATCTGTTCCTCCCGACAGCGAAGGCAACTCTATATTAACTGTAGGGAGGGCCCGGATTAGGCACCCCTAGCGTCAGGAGCGAATATGGCCGCTATTCAGGGCAGGGGGCACTATTTGCCGGTATAGTGGCTGTTAGTCGGGTGCAGTGTTGCCAAGCGGTTTTGGGGTCGCTACACAGGGCTTGTCGCAACCCAGCTAGATCAGGCCCACCACTGAATGTCACAAGGAATCCATCTCTACTATATGTTGACCATACTAAATCCCATTCGTTAACTGTATCCACAGATGTTTTTGTGTAGTGCCTCGCGATCGTCATCTTGCTTTGGGCATGTCCGTCCCGGCCGCCCAAAGCAAGGCTGCCCAAAGCAAGGCTGTTCTTGTTTTGTCTCTCAAAGTTGTTTTGTTGGGAAGTACCTCTCATAGTAGTGTCGCAAAGGCTTTCCCGTTCGCGACGTGGTCGCATTCAAGGCGAGGCCAGCGGTTTTGGCGACGTGCCAAGCACGAAGAACAACGCTAATAGTGACCTGCGGTTTCCGGTACAGGAGAGGTCCCTGTTTGGTGCCGGTTGAATATGTAGTAGGCCGGTGCCCGGTATAGTGCCAGTGTTCTCGGCTCGCACACACTGAAATACCAAGTCATTTTCAGTACTTTGAATAGTGCCGGTTCGTTAAAATAGTGCCGGTACATTTTCTAAAGGCACATGGCGGCACTAAAGAGGGGCCTCTACTGCTGCACCGCCTTGCTTTGCCACCCCGCAGGTTGCCGAGGTGGAGAGCGTCGTGACGGAGGGGGTGGAGCTCCTTGCGCACCGGCCCCTGGAAGTGAGCCCGTTCAACGAGGACGAGCCGCAGGTTCTGAGACACGCGTCCACCAGAGAAGCGTTCGTGAGGCTCGTGCACTACTACTTGCTGCTGGCGGAGGTGAGGTCGTTCGTGCTGTTGTTGTTGTCGCCGCTACTGCTGTTGTTGATTGGCGGTTTGTGTTGTGTGTCTTGTTGCTTATGCTGTGCGTTGGTGTCGGAGGTGTTCGCGCGTTTCATCGGTGGTCGAAATAGGTGAGCTCTCGTTCGTGTAGTTGCCGCTGCTGCCGCTGCTGCGGCGGCTGGTGTTGGCGTCCTTGTTGTGCCTGCGGTGATGTTGGTGCTCTTTATCCGTCGTCCAAGCTTGGATGTCCTGCAATCGAGTGCTACCTGCTGCGTCGCGGCCTGTACTGCCTACTACGGTCATGGTCCCGTGCTGCAGATGGTACCACCAGTGTCCTCGTTTTTCGTGACTTGCCAGTTTTTTTTAGTATTCCTTTTTTGGCGTATGTTGGCCTGTGACCACGGGAATCGACCGCGTCGAGTGGTAGATGAGTACCGACAGAAGAAGGTACTGGGCAGAGAGATCGGAACGGTTGTTCATGTGAAGTCAACAACAACAACAACAACAACTACCTTCGTCGTATGTTGCCGTACTGTACTCCTCGTTCTGTGTTACTCATCCCCGTTGTAGTTGTAGCAACATCCTCGTCGTGTGTTGTCCTCGCTTTGGGTGACTCATTTTCATCGTTGTGAGGCACCATAATTTAACGTCCCGCGACGTGTTTTGATACCGTATCGCATGCCGATTTGTGTGACTCATCCTAATACTTGTGCGGTAACACAACCCAACCCAACGCCCCGAGCGTCTCGTGTTTTGATACGTACCCCATGGCATCTTGCAGGAGAAGAAGCGCAACCCTGGGAGCAATCTCTACACGGAGGCTAAGTTGGCCTTCCACTGCCACCTTCAGGACCCTGATGGAGCGGTGGCTAGGGAATGCAGGTATGTCTTTTCTGTGTTTTCATGTATTGTTTCTGAAAACGGAGGGTAGCTTTCTGTGTGCCATGTCTTGCGAAAATGCGGGTTAATCGTGTCTGTCACGGGCAGAGATGGCAGGTCAGATGTGCTGAAGGGGGGTGGATGTCTGCTGCAAGACATTTTATTTCCCCGGTGTGTGAAATGTCTTGCGAAATGCGGGTGGATCTTGTCTCTCCCAGGCAGAGATGATGGCAGGTCAAATATACTCTGGCGTTCACCTGTGGTTTATGTCGACGCACGGTAGTTCGTTTTTTTTGTATTGCTGGCTTCCGATATTTCGGCTTGGCGTTCTCCTGCTGGTGTAGCGGCTTTGCGTCGCCGAGTGTCGCTTTAACCGTCTTGCCTACCCCTGCATTTTGGTAGATGTGGTACTAGATTATTTGTCAGGGTTGAAATAGTGTGTAGCCTTGACGTCAAACGTTTTGTAGACCTCGCCCGGCTCCTCTTAGTTTGGCGATCGTTATGCTAAACATCCGCCAAGAAGTATGGTATCAATTTTGATGTACGCGTGTTAATTGCTTCGGGCGTGTTTTGCTGCTGTCGCTTTATCACCGATCACCGTATCTCTGTGCCGTACATGGCGAATCACTACTTCCAGCCGGATTCGAATCAGCACGCGAAAAGACAAAACATTTTGAATCTGCCGTGTCTAGTCTACAGTACCAGTATTTTTTTTTGCTTTGAACAAAGAAAAATTGTTTTCTTCACCACGGAAGCCTTTTGTTGATAGATTTTAGTAGAGATTCGCGATAAAAATACGAACACCAACCCGAAAAAGAACAGTATATCTGCGGAAAAGATGGAATTTTGGTGTGTTCTTGTAAGGAAGTAGTAAAATAATTGAATCCTCCGTTTGGGGTGGGTGCTCTTGCAGGGTGGCGTTGACAGCCCTCAAGACGGATAGAGTGGACCACAGGACCAAGGAGAACGAGAAGGCGCTCGAGGACATGGAAGCCGAGGCAGACCAGAACATGCACAACTCAGGAACCGGAGAGGTGGGAGATCGCTTGTTAAGACTATCGTCTTGGACTCGATGACGGAGGGGGAGGTGCTGTACGGAGTAACCCAACCACCCATGGTGCAAGTCGGGGATAAGGGAGATGTTTACCCGCACGCTGCTTCGTTCGCGCGCAGACTGCTGTGTACACCCGCTGCTGTTCGTGTGTTTGTTGTCTTTCGCCACCCTGCTGGCGGCTGTCCAGGCGTTGTCGTTAATCGTACAGCATGATCTTGAGCTCGGGCTTGGCCTCGTGAATTTTACACCACGGCTTGAGCTCAGGCTTGGCCTGGTGAAATAATTCTGTACGACCTGACCTCAGGCCTCGTGGATCATACAACACGGCTTGAGCTCAGGCTTGACCGGTGAAATCTTTCTATTCGACCTGCCCTCAGGCCTCGTGAATCATACAACAAGGCTTGGGCTCGGGTCTGGCCGCGTGACCTGTACAACAACATGAACTTGAGCGTAGACTTGGCCTTGTGACGAAACGGCTTTTGAGCGTAGGCTTGCCCTCATGAATCGTACAAGGCGACTTGAACTCAGGTTTAGCCTCGTGAATCTGTCTGCACCACTTGGAGACCCCTTTCGTAGCAGCAAAGGCGGTATGAAGTATTTTTTTTCCCGGGGACTACTTGCCGGTTCCCTGCTCGTATCATGCGGCTATTCCCGACCAGTGCTAATCTAGCACCGGCCTTGAGCCTTAATGCGTAATGCGTGTTTCCCGCTTACTACCGCACGAATCAAACCCACCGGTATGCCAATCTTTCTGTTGCTCTCTCTGCTTGTCTCTCTCTCTACTTCTCTCTGTCTCTACTACCCCCTCCCTTTTCCTCTATCTTTTTCTTTATCTCTCTCAATTGTTTCTTTATATTGTATGCTTCGTTATATAATAGAAAGGTGTACCTCTCCTTGGGTAGTTGGTTTGTGACAACGCAAGGCGTTCGCGTCAGTTGAACCAGTACGGATACTTGAAGGTACGGAGCGGAGACCGGAACGGTCGAAGCAGACAACAACAATAACAGACAACAACAACAACAACAACAACAACAACAACAACAGCAATAGCAACAACAGCAATAGCAACAACAGCAATAGCAACAACAACAGCGACAACAACCTCTCTGCCGCTCTCCCTGTCTCAGGTCGGTTACACCCTGGAAGAGCTCGAGAACGGCGAGTATCACGTCGTGCGGAGGGTTTCAAAGTCTCCCCGCAAGAAGGTCGGCTGGCTTCCTTCCCCTCACTGAAGAGCCTTCTTCTTGCTTCTTGCTCGTCATCCTTCCCTGCCGTTGGGTCGAACGGGAACAAATTGCGGCGCAATACACGCCTGTTCGCACACGGTACGGTACATATTGTTTTTTATGTATATTCAAGCGTGTGGTTTGTTTGTTGGTGCGGGCTCCCTTTTAGCAGGCGGGAGGCGGGGCGCGGAGGTCGCCTGTTGGTTGTTGGGTGTGTCCGTCTTTGCTTCACCGCCTGTACAATACTAATGGTACTGTCTTTGTGAATTTCGTATGCTATCAGTCAAGTCGTGGAGACGCGTATGCTCGCTCGTATTTTTTGGGTCATGATGCGGCAAAAAATGTATTATTTTTTTTCGGTTGCTGTGGGAATACTTACTGTAGAGGGATATGCAGGTTGAGGGGGTCATGTCAATGGTGAACGCCCCGAGTCAGGGAAAGTTTAAAGTCCATATCTCGTTCAAGTGTTTTGCGTTAAAGGAGGGAAGGCCTGGCCAGGGGGAGGGGGGGGGGGGGGGGGGGCCCCCCCCAAAAAAACAAAAAAAAACGGGGGGGGCCCCCCCCCCCCCCGGGGACCCCCCCTGGGGGCCAACCCCCCAAAAACCGGGGGGGGGGGGGGGGAACCTTTTTTAACAAAAAAAACCCCAACCTTTTCCCCCCCCCCAAACCCCCACCCCCCCCAACCCAGCCCGGGGGGTGGGGGCCCCCCCGCAAACCCAAAATTTTTTTTAAGTTTTTGGAACCGGGGCCCCCCGCAAAAAACCCCCCCCTTTTATTTAAGTCCCCCCGCCCCCGAATGGGAAAACCACAAAGGGGGAACCCCCCCCCAAAACCAGGCCCCTTTTTTTGGAAAAAAGAATTTTTCCGGGGGAAAACCTCCCCCCGCCCCCCCCTTTTTTCCCTCCAAAGGGGGCCAAAAATTTCTTTTCCCCCCGGCGAAACCTGCCCGGGGGGGAAAAAAAAAAACCCCCTTTAATTTTGG